ATTTAATATATATATATATATATATATATATTTATTTTATGTATTTATAGTGGCGTTATGTCCTATAGCGACACTTATTTTGATGTTTTAATTTTTTTAAATTATGAACTATATTATTTTTTAATTATTTTATTTTACATTTATCATATAAATTTTAATTACTATTTTATAAACTTATTTTTTCATTAGTTTCTTTATTTAATATATTTTTTGCTTTTTTGTTTTTTAAATTTAAAATATGGGACGCTATGGGCTACAGCGACTTCATTCAAGCTGTTAGTGTCACTATGGCTGCAACAACTTCGTCAATATGGCTTTTATGACTTCTTTGGAGTTACAAAAATGCCACGTGTCACTGGTGTCACTATAGACCATAACGACACCGTTATAAATAGCTCCAAAAGCGTAAATACTTTCAAAAGAACCTCATTTACGTGATAAACTTTTCAAACAATCCCAATTATAAAAAGCCTTTATTTTCCCGTAAGAAGGAAATTGCATATTCTGCGTGGCAACAGAAGCAATTTGCAATTATTAGGTGTTGAAAGTGTTGACCTAATCAGCACTTCGTGTTTAACAATCAAACCTATCCTAAATAGTTCAATCAGTTGCCTACTCAGCTCTTACGTATGCATTATTCTCTGTTCCCACGAAACCAAACACAACAGATTCAGAGAACTAGTGGATCTAATTGCTCCAAACAAACAAATTCAAAGAAATTTTGAATGATCGAGTAAACAACCTTGGGATGTTATTAATCTCCGATCAATCTCACCCATTTAATATATCATCCAATTTTATTTTATTTTCATTATGATTATATTTATAATCTTTTCTATCTTAAAAAAAAATTTGTGGCTTAAACATTTTACATTTATAAAAGACTTTTTTCTAAGTACACGGGATAAGATTATAATTTACTGTTTTTCTTATAAATATTTAAAATTATTTGCATATTTAAGACTTAAATTTGAATATTAATACATTTATAAAAGGCTTATCAAATGAGAACATTAAACTATGATATATATATATATATATGAGTAATTAAGACTTGATAATAATAACATTAATTTTTAGATTAAATTATATTTTTAATTGTTTATAATATTCAATCCACGATATCTAAATTTTTAATTATAGGAATTTAATTCCTTAATTTTGTAAAATTTATAATTTTGATCAATGTTAAAATTATTGGTTTTAACATAATATTAGTAAATACATAATAATTGTAATATTTACGATAATTTACTCTTTTATATATGATTGACTACTTCCTCAATTTTTTATTATAAAAAAAATTTATGTATATTTAAAAAATTAACTATTTATATTAAATTTTATTGATCTCATACTATTTTTCTTAAATTGTTTTTGTTATAAATACTAAAAGAAATAATATAATTGAAAGTTCACGCATTAAAAGATGAATACTTTTTTAAAAAAATCTATTAAGTGAGATAAAAATAGTTATAATTTGTTTATATTTAAAAATAATTTTTACTTATAATTAAAAAAATAATTAATTATCATGTCATCTATGTAATATCAAGTTAAGGTCACAGTATAATTTTGTTGTCAATGGATGAATATTTTATAATTATATTGAAATTAAAAAATTACAAAACTAAAAAATAAAATTATAAATTTGATATTATAAAAGATAAAATTACCATTTATCCTAATTTTAATAATCTATGTATAATTATATTAAAATTAAATCTCTAAAATCTTATTTGATATATATTTGACATACATACATGAGTTTATATATATATA